GATTCGGCGCTGATCTGATTTGGTTCTCGCTGACAAGGTCAGCGGAGTCGACGACGGGACCGACTGCCCGTTCCATTTAAAGCGTGGAGGCTTTGGTGGAGCTTTTATGCTTTTAATATACTGACCTGTTGAGTTTCATGCTGAATTAGCTCTCCACAAAGCCATTTTGCTGATCTTCCAAGACAGATGGAGGTGGAATGGTAGCGGGGGCGAGCGGGGGGAAAGGGCCATAAAAGTAAATAGTAAGTAAAGGGAAAATGTTAGTAGGGTTCCCCCCGGCTAATTTCCTAATAGCGTTTCCTAAGGCAGTTTCATGTGCAAATGGATTCCTTGATACCTGGCAATACGTTTTAAATAGCTTCTTTCAGAGTGTAATTTTAAAAAATTGTATTAAGTGTGATGTATCGTAAGGGTTCTTGAACGCTGGTAGCAGAAGTCAGCCTCATAAACTGACTAAATAACAATAGCTCTTACCTAAGAAATATGTAGGGAGTTTTTTGGTGAATTTTCAAGTTTGAAAAAGAAGCAAATTGACTCTTTTCTTTTTTTAAAACTCTAGCACAGTCATACACAGACTTAGTCACTATAAAAATGAAGGTCTAGAGAACATATAAGCAAATTAGCAAAACTTATATTTAAGGAGTCCCTTGGCACCAGGTATGTGTGATGTTAAAAAGGTATCAAGGATGGTCAGAAACAAGCTGGATAGCGGCAGTGCTTATAAATTGTTTTGAAACAGCAAAATAGAGCTGCTGCTTTATTTTTCACTAAAAAATTCACATGCACCTTGTGCATCTTTTCTAAAAGACAGTTCTCTAATTTGACAGAATAGCTAAAACCATCTGAATTCGTACATAACCATGTATGAAGATAATCCGGGTATGTGATTTTTAACTTCTGAAAACTGTGAAGTTTTTTATTGTTTTCCCTGCTGCTCATGGCTTTTAATTTGAGAAATTTAGGAACCTTATTTATATACAAACTAACTCTCCAAGAAAAAAAAAAAATTACTACAATGCAACTTGAAGGCAGTGATAGGCAAGGGGCAGCACTTCAGAAAAGCTGTCAGGTTGTGATGTTAGTCCTAGGTAGCTTTTCCTGGGAAAGCTCCGTCTCCAGCTTGTTGTTGCAGCAAGATGTCCAGCCACTGATGAAAAACTGCAGCTCTTTGAGCCCATTTCTTAGCAGTTGTGCCTCTGAGTGTTAGGAATTGTGGTATTTTTGAGCTTGCTGTCAGGGAAAGCGCTGCTGTTTGATCTCCTGCATTGCCTTGTGGTCGTTTCTTTTCGCTCCTTTGTGTGGTCAGAAAAATGATGTTACTTTTGCACTCCCAAGCTGTTGAGCTGATGGATACTTCTAAAGAAAATGAAACACTATCACTGCTTGTTTTGTTTGTTTCTTTCTATGAAACACTGCTTTGTAGTGTTTTAAAATAAAAACAAACAGCTGTTTCTTGCCTTTTTTTTGGACCAACTACAAGAGGCAGCTGCATCAAGGAGGGAGGAGAGTCCTTTTTTCCTCCCCTCACCCCAGAAAGTCTTGCTGAAGGTTAAGATGATACCTGAACTTTGAGTGCTTTACAGGTGTATTAGACCTGTAAAGTTTCCTAGTTTGGGTGTAGATACAAAAGCAAAGTTAACTCTGAAGAATGACTGCATATAAGCAAAAATGAATTAAGATGGGAAAACTGATTTTACCATTGTAATTATGTGAGGTTTCTGCTAGCAGATGTGCATCTGGCATAAGCAGCCCAGCAGAAATCCTTAGCGTGGACTGGCCTAGATCTGCTGCTGGCCTGTTAAATGGGAAAGGCCATTAAGAAAAAAATCACAGCATTGGTTGTTGAGCCCAGGGAAGAATTAACTTCTGGTGGCAGTGAATAATTGACTTGCATGGAAGGGAATGTAGTTCCATCCTGTTGCAAAAACCTTATTTGAAGACTTCATTGTTTCTTCCCTATTTCTGTATGCCATTTAGTATGTTCCCAAGCAGCTAAGAACAATAACGTTTGTGCAAGTTGAAACAAAGTAAAACCAAAAAAAATCTGATTATTTATTATAGATGACCTTTTGTTGGCTTGTTTTAATCAATAAAATGTAATCTGTTAGCGCTGGAAAATTACAGTGACTTTTGGTGATGCATAAGAATTTAATGTATGCTTCTCTTCAGTGTGTCTGTCTGAAAGGTATTTAGCACAGTGCAACACCGGAGCTCTGTAGGGTTTAATTTCATGCTCTGGACCTTGAAGCTGACCTCGTAGTCACTGTCATGCTATTCCACCGGAGAGGGGATACTCCAGGATTCAGCTTCTCCTCCATGGGGAATCTCAAGTGACAGTTAACGTGGAAACCTCCCGTTAAAGAAATTCTTCTGAAAATAAGTAAGAAAATACACCCTTCTAGCTGGGCTGTGGTCAGCATCAGCAGAGCTAGCGAAGAGGGAGCCTGGTTTGTTTTTGTCGTTATAGTTGGACAGTTTGAACAGACTCAGAGTCGCGTATGCGGAGTAATGAATCGATGACTTATCAGTCAGTTAAACTGTTCTTACAGAAATACGCAACTAGCACATTCAATGCTGAGACCATCCTCTGCTGAGCCAGTTTTACTCCAGTGTTACTGATAAAATACATCTGGAAAAGCTAAAGGCCTTTGAAATGCAAAAGCAGCTTTGAAATATTGTGAAAACTTTTGGATAATCTTTTTGATACTGGAAGATTACCAGCATTTGTTTCCAGTCCTAAGAGAATAAGACTCTGAAGTATTTTTTGGTATTAAAAATGACTTTAATTTACACTTAGCAATTGCATTATTCCCTGTAAGCCTTTTGTATATCCTTTCCTTCACAGTAACTCGCGGCCTCACACGTGGAGGCAGTGAGCTCGGATAGAGCCTCTTAGAGCTGCAGATGCTCAGCCCCTCTAAGGACTGTCTGAAAACATATAGCTTTTCAAGAGGTGCAGAGAGTAACTGCAGCTAAAAATCCAATCTTGTGATACGTATAAAAGCTTTTCTGTAACCCAGAATGTACAGTGCTGCTGTTTCTTCAATGATAAATGTCAGTGCTTGTTTAGATTGCTTTTGCACCAGGCAGTCTCTTCCCAGAGCTCATGTCAGTCAAGCACACGATGCTTTGATTTCTTCCTCCTGCCCCAAATCCCAGACGTGAGTTGGGATTTGTTGCAGTGGGCATTGCTGAATTGCTCTAAGGTTTTACTAACTGGGGCACGTGGGACACTTCTTACACTTACAGATCCAGCTGGGGCTGCTTGGATGGTTGAGATTGAAAGAGCAACCTGCTCAGAATAACCAGCTTCAAATCAGGTAGAAACTGTTCCCAAGTTGTATCACATACAGAGCTACTGGAACAGCTGCTTTTGTTTTCTTTTAGTTTTATTTTTTCTCTCCGAGTGTAGCATAGGTGAAGCTGCTGTTCTCAGCTCTGGTGGTAGCAGTTGGCAGGTGGCCTGGTAATGTGCATCTTCATTCTCTTCTCCTTAGAAGCATTTTAATTCTCTGAACTTCATTACTAGAAAACAATAAATATCTGTGAACTTTACTATTATGGCAAAGAATGAGCTCGTTTAAGAAAACCTGAAGTCATGTAAGAGTTATTTGGAGAACTGGAAAGAAACCTGTGACTAAAAGGGATGGATTAAATCAAGCATCAAGTATCCTGATGTAGGAACGGATTTGGTAAAGCTTTGCTTAATTTTTGGAGTACCAGAGCTGTTTAACTCCTGAGTGTCTGATTTGTTGCTGTTAAAGAAATGGCATTAAGGAGAATTAAGTTGATTTCGTTCCTGTATACATATATTTTTTTCTGTTTTATTACAACTTTGGGGATGCTAGCATGGTGTCTTTTTTTAAACACATTGGATATGGAATTTTATGAGCGGATGGTGAGGGGAAGCTCTAGGAAGCCTAATTGCCTCCTCAGCACATTCCTTGGTGTGACACAGCTTTACAACCTGGAGCCGGGAGGGAAGCGCTCTGCGCGCTGTGCAAACGAGCAGCAGCTCCCGAGCCACGAGGAGGCCGTTCCCGATGGCTCGGCCGCTTTCCCGCGGCACAAATCCGCCCGGCTGCTGAAAAGGAGAGCCCTGGCCCTCCGCTGTCCTCGCCATGTGATAGCCCCTCATTCATGAGCCACCTGATCCGGTAAATAGAGCAGCGAGTTGAGCTGTCCGAAAAACTATCCGGCCTCCCGGAGCCGCAGCCCGGAGAGCCCTCCGGAGGGCCTGGGCAAATGCAAACGGGTGGGTAGCTGTGCCTTGGTAGGCCAGGGTGTGTGTGAAGGTATTTCAGTGAAGAGTGTGCAAGCTCCTACGTGAGCTCCTGTTGGAGAACAGGGATTAACTGATTTTTAGTCTGGTGCGTCTAGAGTTTGAATTCATACCTGTTGGGTAACTCTTGTGTTTATTTATTTATTTATTTATTTATTGTCACTAGGCCCTGGGTGTTGTTATTAACTGATAGAGTTGCAATATAAGGAACGCGAGAGTTGTCAGGCAGCTGACAGGATAAGTTTGTATTTTGGGTGGACATTTGTATGTTTGGGCATTTTTTAATCTTATATAGTGAGTAGCAGTTCGGCACTATAGGAGCAAATAGTTTCTCTGTATATTTTCCTTTATATCCTTTGTTTACCTGTCTCATCCCTTCTTTCTTTTATCCCATCCACTCACTGACTTCGTAGCTTTTTTCCTTCTCAATCCTAAGTTTTAGATTCAGATAAGGCTGTTTACAGAGGTTGTGGTTTGAATTCACAGATGTGTGGATCTAATTCTTCTACTTTAGCAGAGTGACTGATTACTTGTAGGGTGGTTGGTCCCCTTTTACATACTGATTTTACTTTAAACAGTCTGCATGTTAGTCTCAAGAGGTCATGGCTGACTTTAAACAAATAAATTAGGATCAGAATAGGTGTGGCATTTAATAATTAACTTTCTGGTTACTCAGGTCCAGTAGGAAGCCTATAATGATTCTGTTTTCATTCTGTTTACAGGAATAGTTATCTGCTTAGTCTCATCCTTCATATTTGGCAATCTGAGTAAAAGGTCCGAGCCAGCATGAAGACGGAATCTCTTCTTCACTAGAGAAAAAGTGAGTTGGAACTAGATTGAAAACTAGTTTGTGGACTAAAAGTCCTAATTGTCAACAGACGTAGCTTGTGCTTGTTGTGTAGTGTTATTTTAACTACATACTAATCTTATGAGTAGTGTCCGGTCGAGGCATAATCTTGGTTAAGCACATACAATATTTTCAAATCTGTGCAAGTTATGTAATTGCTTTTACCTCCTCTAAAAGGAGGTAGACTACTTACTTTCTGTATAACTAGCTGCCTGATTTGCTCCTTCCCTGTTGTGGAAGAAGAGATCTTGCAAGAGAGATGCTGGAGTCTGTGTTCTTTTCCTGTGCTGCCGTATTCACATAGAGTTTGTTTTGGTCGTTTAATCCTCGTGACCTGGTTCTGCAGCCTTATTGGTCTCTTCCGGTGTTCCCGGTGCTTAATGTATGTCTGTTGTTTGAATTTTATGTTGAAGCCTCTGTTCAAATTTAAGGATCACCTGAAATGCAGGGCCTAGTTTCATTTCTGCCTTGGGAAATCCTGAAATTTGCATTTGAAAGTGCCGTGTGTGGAAAGCAGCTTGATTCCAAGTCATTTAGCTTAAGTTTTATATGCTGTTCATACCCTCACCATGTCCTGACAGTGCCCTAGTAGTGTATTCGTGTTCTTTGGTTTAATATTTGTTATCTGGGTTATGAGATATTATTTTTTTCTAAAGAAATGGAGGTTCTCTGCAGTCCTTTTATACTAATGGTATGTTTTGGTTACTTAGCTTTCTGCCTGACGCAGTCCGTTTCAAGAAGTGCACGATGACAGAACGTGGAATTAAATGGGCTTGTGAGTATTGTACCTACGAAAATTGGCCATCTGCAATCAAATGTACCATGTGCCGTGCTCAGCGACCTAGTGGAACAATTATCACAGAAGATCCATTTAAAAGTGGTTCAAGTGATATTGGTAGAGACTGGGATCCTACGAGCACCGAAGGAGGGAGCAGTCCTTTGATATGTCCAGATTCTAGCGCAAGACCAAGGGTTAAATCATCTTACAGCATGGAAAGTGCAAATAAATGGTCATGCCACATGTGCACGTACTTGAACTGGCCGAGAGCGATACGATGCACTCAGTGCTTGTCCCAGCGCAGGACCAGGAGTCCCACGGAGTCTCCTCAGTCGTCAGGATCTGGTTCCAGAGCAGTTCCTTTTTCTGTTGATCCCTGTGAGGAATACAATGACAGGAATAAACTGAACACACGGGCTCAGCATTGGACTTGTTCTGTTTGTACATACGAAAACTGGGCGAAGGCCAGAAAATGCGTTGTGTGCGACCATCCCAGACCCAACAACATAGAAGCAATAGAACTGGCGGACACGGAAGAGGCTTCTTCCATCATAAACGAGCAAGACAGGGCTCGATGGCGAGGAAGCTGTAGTAGTGGTAATAGCCAAAGAAGATCTCCACCTACAACCAAACGTGAATCTGATGTAAAAATGGATTTCCAAAGAATTGAGTTGGCCGGAGCCGTTGGCAGCAAGGAAGAACTTGAAGTTGACTTCAAAAAACTAAAGCAAATAAAAAATAGAATGAAAAAGACTGACTGGCTGTTTTTAAATGCTTGTGTTGGTAAGTTGTTGTTGCTATGTTACGCTGATAGTGCCTATGGCTAAGTATTATGGGAGGATGAGGAATGTAAATGGAAATTTGAAAATTGTGTTTGAAATGGATTTTTTTTGAAAACATTTAAAGGGTGAATTAAATGTGGAAGTTCCTGAAATAACACCTGCTAAGTGAGAGTGCAGAGTTCATCCCTTAACTGAATAGAGTTGTACCTGTGCCTTTTCTTTAGCAGAAAATGTGCTTTTTTTTTTTTTTTTTTTTTTTTTTTTTTTTTTTGGCCTTTTGTAGCAATGGATCTCCTTGTAAACTGATTCTGCTGTCCTGGGTAGCCCAAAGGCTGGAAAACCAGCAAACCAATCTGCAAAACAATCTACTGCTCACAGAAGTGTAAAAACTGCCCTTATAGGGCATTAAGGTGACTCCTCTCTTTACCATGGTAAGATACACTAGTAGAATCGGCAGCTGCAGCTTGGGAGTATTTGTAAACAGTGCAGAGCTTAACAGTACAAGATGCTCTGTCAGATGTTAAAAATAACACAAAAATATGTAGCTCCAAGAAACTGCGCGTGCAATAGTGACCTTGAATGCAATAATGTAGTAACACAGATACTGCATTGGAGATGTTTACGGGCTTGCTGAGAGTGTTTTGGTAGCCAAAGAATTCAAAACGTTCAAATACCAATTTCGGTTTGTATTTTAGTGCTTTCCTAAGGAAACTCCGGGTAACTCTCCCAATGGTGACATGTAAGAGCAGGGTTTTCTCTAGTGGTTGACCTCGTGAGCTCCCTTTTGTGCTCTGACTTCCCAGAAGGAGGCTTGTGCCCTAGCACTCGAGCAGGTTCAACACTTGAAACATACCACTATTTTTAGAGTAGGACAACTTCATTTGAAGCTCTAGCATTCCTGGTATGTTGCTTGCTATTCCGTGGTGTTTTGTCGAGTCGCTTTGTTTGACATGTTTATTATTGAAAAACGAATTTGTGGCACTGTCTTGTTGAATGTATTTGATCAGGTGTAAATGCTGTTGGCTCTCAGGGATTTGGTTTCTCTGAGCTAATAAGTATTCTGTTCTACCTTTGTGTTGGATAAATAGTCACAGACAAAGCAATTTCTCTTGAAAACAATTAGATTCTTGGATATTTC